GAGAGAGAGAGAGAGAGAGAGAGAGAGAGAGAGAGATTTTGAATAAGCATATGAAGGAGGCTGGTGAACCTAAATTTGAACCAGAGAACAACGCAGAGAACAACAGATGTGCAGAGAGGAAGGGAGGGCCCTCTCCCCTTGGTGCTCCCCGGGCCATCCATCACAGCAGCAATCTGTCACCACTGGATCAGCACTGCAGGAGGTCCGAAGGGCCATGAAGACAGCATCCTCTAAGACACCCCTGATAAGCAGCCATCAAATTCAATGAGAGATCAAGTTACAGAGTCAGATCTATGCCACAGACACATTTGTGCTCTACGATTCACACTTTGGCTTTCAATAACAATTTTTGCAGCCTGTGCATCCCTACCTTGGTTTGCCCTGCTCTCCCTGAATCACAATCATTGTGATGAGAAACTCTACCAGGAATGCCCAAGCCCATTGACAACATCCAGTTCTTATACTATCAAGATTTTATTTCCAGAAACCACTCCAAAAATGGGTTTCAAAAAGGAAGGAAAAGGTAAAAGGGCCTGATTGTTTGCTGGTCAATTACTAGAAGTATTTGGTTGGGGAAGATACTAAATTCTTTCAAAAGTAGTCTTTCTAGGGCCGGAGATGTAGTTCAGAAGTAGAGAACTTGCCTAGCATGTGCGTGGCCCTGGATTTAATCCAGTTCTGCAATATGCACATATGTACATCTCTACATAATGTATAAATAGATCATTTCTCTATACTTAAGCAGATTCAGTTAGAAAAGATTAGGGGGGAAATATATATGATGCCTTTCATAACAAACACAAAAGTAACTGCATAAAGTTGAACATAAAAATTTTGACAAGAAGACCAAAAGAGTATGCTGAACAACCAACAAAAATAGATTATAGAGGCACACCATATTTCTGAAGATATAACTTAATACTATAAAGATTTCAGATCTTTATAAATTAAGTATTTACATTTCATCAAGAATGGATATTAAGCCAATTAAATCCCAATAGAATTTCCTTTCTAGAACTTGAAAAAAAATCATCCTTATGAGCTTCTGATTAGTAAATTTGAGAGAAAAATTAAGACTTTTTTCAAAAGAAAAAAAGGAAAAGCTACCCAG